TCACCTTAGATTCTCTCTCAAGATGGTTTTTTCTCTTCTTAAATTTATCCATAGCTGCAACAACAGAGTAAAGGATACACAGGCCCTCGGCCACCCACTACCACTAGGTGCCCTTTATGTTTGAAGTCACCTAATCAAGTAAGGGTACCCTAAATATATACATAATAAGTTGGGTTAATTAACCTCCTGGGAGTTTATAGGACACTACCCTACACCCAAAACCGTGAAAAAGCACTAGGGTTGCCACAAAATCTTTATGGGTCAGTAAAAATTCAATTTGGTGACTCCTAGTTCTATACGGGCTAGAACAAGATCTTTGTATGTTTAACCCAAATGATTCGAGTTTAAAATCAAAATTTAAAAAGAAAAATGTTCATGTCTTCATCCTCATCTTCTTCCTGTTATTGTTGGGTAAGATTTTACTAGTTTAGTGAAAGAAAATCAGGAAGGGATGTTTCTATTTATGGAAAACAGGACTTTTATGATCAAACATCATCTTTTTGACTCATCACCAAGCGAACAAAAAGGAAAGACCTTTATGTATTATATTAATGGCTTCCCCCTCATGTGCTCGTAATTGGGTATCTAATAGTTTTCCCTTTTGCCCAATGGATCAACAACAACTTTACTTCGGGTCGGATCCCGCGTAGATTCTCTTTCCATATTTCCAATATCTTTAAGATACATTTTATATATATATATATATATATATATATATCAAATTTCATGTTCTACTTTAATTTTTGAATTCTTTGAACCTTTAATCATGTTACATGAAATATACACCCACTTAGAAATCAAGTTTAGAATTTGATTTTATTATATAAAGGTTTGTTCTTGAAGGCGCAGATTAAAATCTTTACCTCAGGGTGTGAAGTCATATGGGGCAGATAACAGCCGCCCGGTCATAATCTGATGTGATTAGATGATTATGGCCACATGATCTATCAGCAAGAATTGATGAAGGTCAACATATCAAGTTTAGGAGGATTTCGGAACATTAGTAGTTGAGTCAGCTATCAAATTATATAGATACATATACTTACAAACTATTATATATATATATATATTGTAGTTGACAGGACACCCTGAAGAGCCCAATTTCTGTCATTTTTTGACGGCTAAACCCCTATGCAGTATCTAGGATGTATATACTTTTATATATATATATATACACACCCCATTTATCTGAAGAACAAAACTGATGGATGCTCTGTAAACGTATATGGTTGGCCAGTGCTGCTATTCCACAGATTTGAGATGTCCAATCTTTCAGAAGTACAAGTTGGCATCAAATAGAAATGAAAAGAGCTACCATACATACACCCACTTGAAAACTTTGATTGGAAGCCTGCAAATCAGTTTCCTAGTCACCATCAAGGATTTTCTTGCACCTAACTAAGAATTCTTCATCCTGGATAGGTGTTAATCGTTGAAACTAGTTCTCATCTAGTTGATTGCTGATTTTGGTAATCCCATTAAAGATCCACAATCAACTTAACTAAATTAAATTTATTGAGATTTACTTGGAGCTGAATAAGGGGGAATACAAACAGTGCCTTATTGCCCATCTCCCTCTAGCCTGTTTAGGTTCCATGAAAGATGAAAACCTCTTCCCTCTGTTCTTCCTCACTCAAAGTAAGTGAGGTATGAGAAAGAAATGTCAGTTTAGAGATATCCCTGCTAAACAGTAGATCGCATCTTCGTGAGAGCAACCAAGAGGGTGCTTCGGATAGCATGCAACGGGAAACAACTAAAATTCACTTGCTGACTAGATACTATAGACATGAGAACAAGGGTGCTTCAGATAATTATGCATTCATTACATATTGGCCGAAGTTACTAAATTACTATGTTTAAAAATTAACATGAAGGCATGAAGTGTTCAAGGCACCCACAAATTACTCCGGGAACTAAGAATGTTGATAGGAAACGGATCAACTCAGATTTTGTTTTTGAGTCTGTCAGGGAAACGAGCAATAGATTCAAATGATCCCCTTACGAGCAGTGAATTGGAGTGAAAATGCGAAGAGCCTGAAGTATTCTAGGCATCTCTACCAGCATAGAGAAATTTTAAATATTTTTCACCAGTGAGTTCATCATATTGTTTCCTATTCTGGATTTGATTTGAGTTTGTTTGAGGGCATTGATATTTTACACAGCCTCGAAAAGGAGGTAATCCTATCAGACTTGGATACTACTGTTTCAGATTCTCATTTCTTAGCAACACCTCAATAATAAATTGACTCTTTTTTCTTCACGAAGATAATTAACTTGTCACTTAAACCAAACCTTTCTGCGGTAAAAGTCTCTCGGAAGAGCAGGAGAATCAAGACCTTGTACATGTTATGGATTGGATAAAATATACCAAAAGATCAACTATGAGTGACGGGTAAAAAGTAAAGAAATTGAATGCAAAGGAGTAAAGGTACAACTCATGGAGACGGCACTATATCTACTTCAAGTTTCCATCGGTACACAATATTTAAAATCAGAGGATAAGATACCTACAATTACAAAAAAGTTAAATAAACTCTCTGAGATTCAATTCAAAATACCAAAATATACAAAAAGGCGACATGTATCCAAGATGATACTTACCTGTTGCAATTACCCTGAAGTATTATCGACTGTATAATAGTTCAGTTAACATTAAGGTACATCCACACCAAAATCGCTGATCAATATCACCACCTCCGTACAAGTGATGTGAGCAACTGCCAGAACACATTAAAATTCTATATTAAGAATCTGCCTCTGCATGTTTGCAGAAGTTCAAGTTGATATAAAGTTTGCAAAAACAGCCAGATATTCCAATGATCATGCCCATTTTTGGGATGAATTTACAGCATTACACTTGTGAGCTAACTGGGGGATAAAATTCTATCTCACAATTATAAGGAATCCTATCTCCAAACACTTGCAGGCTTCCGGTTCCTAGATGGGCTATAAGGAACTCCACCAGAAGCACCTCTCTTACATAGAAAGCTAAGATTCTGTTCCATAGATAAAAAAATTTTAAGACAATTAAAATAGTTTTAAAACAAATACTAAAAGCAAACATTTTAAAATTTACAAACTCCATTTCAGTTTTCACTATTTATCTTTTTTATTGGTAACTAAGTTATATAATTTTGTAAATAGTAGATGTATAAATCTTTGAAAATAAAACTAAAAGTATTTTCATATACTAAACAGACTCTAAAATTACTAATTCAAAATTGATCTTTATCTTTCAAACCACACAATAGAATCATTATGGAAGCATTTGGTACATGGAACACATTTTCTTCTTTCACTTTTATTTTCATATACGTATAAATATTTATAAATATATCGATTAGTACAAACATACATATATACAAATATTTATGGATCTAGTAAGATACATATATACACTATAACTCTATATATATATATATATATACACCGCAGTAAATATGTAGTTGTTGATTTGTAGCATATACCATATGA